AAAAAAAAAAAAAAAAAAAAAAAAAAAAAAGAAAGAAAGAAAGAAAATGGAACAAGACACTGATCTGAGACAGCAGAGCTAACACCGAATGCTGACTTCTGCTCTGTGAGCCTGCTTGGCCCTTCCTCATTTCTGAAAAGGGCCACATGTACTCTTCTCCTATGAAAAGTGACTGCCACCAATATGCACCTAGACAGCAAGTTCTGTTTGCTAATGTTCGGATCTATCTTAACTAGAAACTTGCAAATTTTAGTTTCTGTAAAACCTGCTTAGCTCTAGGAAAAATCTCTTTGGGGTGGGGATGAAAAGACCTCCTTAAGATGGTCATAAGCTAGTGATAATGTCTAACCCAGCATAAACCACGAACTATTTCTGATCAAGGCTGAAACCTATTTAAATAATAGCTAGAGACTATAAGCTATGTGCTAATTAAAGTTCTTCCTTTATCTCTGAGGGCTTGGAATTTCTCATTGAGGAAGGCTGAGGAGCCCCTCAACAAATTCTGGGCATGGTAGCCAGAGCTTGTATCCCTGTGCTAGAGAGACTCATTAGCCTATACACTGAGCTCCAGGTCACTGAGAGACTGTCTCAAAACACAAGGTGGAACTGGAGAAATGGCTCAAAAGTCAAAGAGCACTTGCTCTGAGTTCCATTTCTAGCACCTACATGACATGGTGGCTTAACTGTAGCAGGTTTTCTTGGACCAACAGCCCCAAATCATGACACAGGAGACTAATTATGAACGCTCAACCTTAGCTTAGACTTGTTTCTAGCTAGCTATTTTTTTTTTTTAACTTAACCTGTTTCTATGTGCTACTCTGAGGCTCATTTACCTCATTTACATACTGTCCATCTTGCTTCCCTCTTTCCTCTGTATCTGTTTGTCTATCCCCTGGCTCCCCATTTCTCTCTCTGCCTGCCAGCCCTGACTATCCCTCCTCTGCCTAGCTATTGGCCATCCAGCTTTTTATTAAATCAATCAGGTGCCTTAGGCAGGCAAGGTAAAACAGCAACACATCTTTACATAGTTAAACAAATACTCTACAGCAAAAACAAATGCAACACATCTTTACAGGTAAACAAATATTCTATTTCACAACACTCAACCATCTATGATTCCCATTCTGGGGGATCCATCACCCTCCTCTGGCCTCCTTGGGCACCAAGTATGCTAGTGGTACAAACATACATGACAGGAGAAAGAACACATACACACATAAAACTTTTAAAGTAAGATAATTTAAAACAAAACAAACAGCAAGGATAGTACTTAAGAATGGCAGCAGAGGCTCTCCTCTGGTCACACATGTGTACACAAACCTGAACACATATATGTATCTGTACATACATGAACACACACAAAAGTGGTCATGAGTGGTATAGTGGGGGATACAAGAGGAGTACTGTGGACAGCTGGACAGCTGTAGTAGACACAAAAGTATGCTGTGAACTATGGGAGTACTTTGGTAGGATACAAGACAGATAAGAATTCCAGAGAAATACCTGAGCTGAGGACAGATAGGTGGATTATGCAGAGAGGGAGGGAGAAATCACTGTAGTTAAGGAAGTCAGTCAGATGACTACAATAGAAGGACTGGGGACAGGAACTGCTTCTGGATGGTGGCAGTGTAAAACAGGTGCAGTTAGAGGTGATGTCAGCTTTCCCCACCAGCCTAATTCGATATCAATACAGTGCTTCTTTGCCATGTTGGTTCAAATCAGTGATGGTTAAGAGCATTACCCAACAGCATCTTTCCACTTCTAGGGGACTCTGTCAGCAGTTGGCTTTGCAGTCCTTTCCTAGCAAGTTCAACTCAGGAGTTTCCTGTATAGGCCACTTCCATCTCCTGTATAGGACACCACCTGTATCATGTGTCCTGTACAGCTACATGGACTGAACTCTGAAGAGGTACACTGAAGCCAGGGCCCATCCTTGGTGGCTAGAGCAAGAACTCAGACATGACCTGCTTCCCTTAGCATGACTTTCTGATGGTCACTTCCTTGTAGTTCAGTCCTTCTCAATCGTCCTAATGCTGCGACACTTTTTTTTTTAATATATTTTTTTATTATGTATACAACATTCTGCTTCCATGTATATCTGCACACCAGAAGAGGGCACCAGATCTCATAACGGATGGTTGTGAGCCACCATGTGGTTGCTGGGAATTGAACTCAGGACCTCTGGAAGAGCAGCCGGTGCTCTTAACCTCTGAGCCATCTCTCCAGCCCAATGCTGCGACACTTTAATGCAGTGCAATTCCTGTTGTGGTGACCCCCAACCATAAAATTATTTTGACTGCTACTTTGCTACTGTTATGAATCATGATGCAAACATCTGATATGTGAAAGGGTTGCCCAGCCCCTTGGGGTCACAACCCACAGGTTGAGAACCACTGCTGTAGTTAACCTTGCTGGAGGAGACCTCATCAGGAGGCTTCATCCAGGTCACCCATTTAAACTTGATCTGTACCGGGAATACAGAACTGTTGGTGGATCATTCTGCCTTCAAACCTCTTGGGTGTTTCTAGACTGCTCAGTGGTCAGCATGCTGAGCTTTAAGTATTTATGCAATATAGTCCTCTGCCTTTTGTTAAGTGTTGAGCACAAATATTTACACAGCAAATTTAAAAAGCAGAATCTGTATACTCTCCCAAAATGGACTCTGCCTGGCTGTGGTCCAAGCTGGCAGAGTCCTCACCTGTCTAAGCCCTGATGGCTCATGGAGGTAGAACTACACTGCCCCCAGGCTCTCCTTGAAAAGATGGAGTCAATTGATCCAGTGCCCCCTTTAATAGGTCATCTCTGTCTCCTAAGATTTATTTTCCTAGTGTTGTCTGTCATGTTTGAAATTGGGTTCAGTGGGTGAAGGTGCTTGCTGCCAAGGCTGACAATCCAAATTTAATTCCTGGCCCCCTGAAAGTCTGTCCTATGACTTCCACACATACACTGTGACACAAGTGTCCTAATACATATACAAAATAAACTTTAAAAGCATCATTCGAAAACTCTGACAAGCCGGGCATTGGTGGCACACGCCTTTAATCCCAGCAGTCGGGAGGCAGAGGCAGGTGGATCTCTGTGAGTTAAAGGCCAGCCTGGTCTCCAGAGTGAGGGCCAGCTTACGCTCCAAAAAAAAAAAAAAAAAAAAAAAAAGAAAACTCTGACAAATTGGATTCCATCTAAATTGGTTTGGCAATGCTTTCAGAGCCACCTGACAGCCTCCTGGCAATGATCTACAAGTTTCCAAATCCATATGGCACTGCTTGGGGGACAAGGAGCCGAACTCCCAAGGTGGGAAATACCAGAATTGTTCTTCTCACTGGAGTTTTTCCTTTAATTCACCTCACTCTCCAAGAAGATGCTGACACCCAGGTAGGGGCAACACCACTGTAAACAAGGCTTTAGAGGTTACAGTTGCTAGTATGCGTGGGAAACCAGTCAGAACTGCCCTGTGTTACTTAACACATACTACAGAGGTGTATTTTTGTAAATTCTCTCTCTCTCTCTCTCTCTTTTTTTTTTCTTCTCGAGGCAGGGTTTCTCTGTATTGTTTTGGAGCCTGTCCTGGAACTTGCTCTGTAGACCAGGCTGGCCTCAAACTCAGAGATCCACTTGCCTCTGTCTCCCGAGTGCTGGGATTAAAGGTGTGCATCACCAATACCCAGCTATTTTTGAAAATTCATACAAAATAGATTTTACACACATAGCAGGCTGCCAATAGGACTGCTTTTCCACAAAACCAACAAATGACAAGAGTTCTTAGTTCTTTCATGACACAGTAACACTGTCATTAAAAGCCCAAAAGGCACTTTAATCTCAGTCACAAACATTCATGAGACAGTAAAACTGTAAAAAAATGGATTGCAACCAAGTTGCTGACACCAGCAACCAGAAACAGTAGTGGAGCCTGGGCACTGGGAGGCGTCCAACAGGGTCACCAACACTGTAGAGAGATCAACCTCTACAGCACAAGGGAGTGGAGCCTGGGCACTGGGAGGCATCCACCACCCTGTTTATCAGTCTTGCTCCTCAAAATGAAAAAAGATCCTGTGGAACATGAAAGAGCAGTCTGCAGGTTTGGTGGGTTCCCACTCCTCTCTGGTGCTGACAAAGTGCATCATTTAGCTACCCTGGAAGAATTTATTTTCTTGATATCTGTGGGGCTTAGAATCAATGTCCCATTTCTGAATTTTCCAACTTGTCCAACTCGTCCATTTGACAAAATGCTGGGAGCCAACTTCTTGGATCTCCTGTGTTGAGGGTAAGAAAAAGGTGCCAGGCAGTTAGAGCAAGCAAGACAACAGCCTGCGGCCTCCTCTTCTTGTGCAGGCCCCACCACAACTGCACTGGTCTCTTGCTTCAGGAAGATGTGGAACACTATTTCCAGGGTGACCCTTCACCCTGCTCAGTTCCTGACAGACAGCACCTCCTTGAAGTGACCTTCAGCTCAACCCCCCCAGCCATCCTCCAAGCTCCACTGCAGCATCACCAACTTTTCACAGTTAGATGCTTTCCTCACTGCCAAGCCCCTTGAGGGACAGGACTACCCTGGGATGACTACACTTGAGCACCAACATTTACCTGGCACACAGTGGGCACTCAATTGACAAAGACACCATTGTGAGAAAGGGCTAAGATGAAAAGCCCAGTGTGGAGCACCCAGAGGAGAGGGGAATACTCTCCCAAAGCTAAGACAAGTCCCAGGCCCCTTGCCTGCTATTTCCCCATGACACATCAAGGTGTCTCACTGTGAGAGTGTGGCATGTCAGGCCAGCCACGCCAACCTCACCTCTCATGAGTCACTGGAGGTGTCTAGTCTTGATAATAGAGACCAGAGAAGATGCGGGATCCAGTCTCATGCAGTTGGCTGATTTGAGGCAGATACCTAACCTACCCCTTGTTTAAAGGCCCAAACAGGTAACTGAGAGGGCTGGGGTGCCACACACACTCAAGGCAACATGAGGGAACGAACCACAGGGCTTGGCTAGTGATGACTCAGCGTCTGTGGCCAACACTCACCTGTCTTCCTGTCCTTTCCTCTTCTTTTTCTTGAAAATGTCTGTGTCCCGAGCCTAAATTAACATTTAGGACTATATGTCAGTAATGGATAATGAATACTCAAAAACAGGGCAATAGGTTAGTGACAAAAGGCCACATAAATGTCATTTATTTAAAACATTTTTAAGTGGGTATATTAAAGATAACCCAAAAGCCTCACCCTGAACCGTTACAGAATGTGACAGGCTATCGGAATCTGGTGATGTGTACCGTGACTGTACTCAGAAGGCAGAGGCAGGAGGAATGACAAGTCTAAGCCAGCCTGGGATACATACTGAGACCCTGTCACAAAAAACCAAGGGTTTGGTTGTAGCTTCCCTCGCTGCCATGACCCCTGGAGGACAGGGCTCCCCTGGGACAACCACAGCCGAGCACCAACACCTCCTGGGTAAATGGTGGGCACTAGGCAGACAGACAATGTGGCAATGATAATGACCTTTTGCCTCAAAGCCAGCCTTACCTCACCCATGGCCAGGCCAGATGCCTCAGCTGGCCTGATGAAGCTCAGCTGATACAACTGGGGCAGGGGGGGAGGATTTGCTAGGCAATGCTGGTGTCTGGTCTCCTGACTGCTTGGCAAGCCATGACTGCCAGCAGGCAGGCCATGAGGCAGCCCCCTCCCCCGCCCACCTGCTTAACAGAGTAAAATGCAGGCACATCACACCCACCACTCTCTTTTCTTCTTCCAGTGCTGCCTTTTTCTCTTTGATTTGTTCCTGTAAAACCTTATAATTCACGTAACTATTTTTGGGAGGCTGAAAGGAAAGAGTAAAGGCACATCATCAGTTTTTCTCATACAAATAAAAGGGCAGTCCCAGTGCCCATGTGCTGCCCCTTCCCCCCAGGCCTGGCCACAGTAGGCAACCCCTCACCTTAGCCCCCAGCATGATAGCCCGCTCCCGTTCCAGGACTCTCTCTTTTCCTTTGCCGTAGCCTGTGATCCCAAAGCGATGTACTTCCAGACGAGCCTGTTGATGCACAACAGTCAGACCTAGCACCCAACAACTCCCAGCAGCCTTTCGACCTCGCTGCCCCACAGCCGTGGCACTGCAGTGTTGCCTTGGCTGAGGGAGCACCAGCAGGCTCTGGAACCACTGCTCTCTCAGTGTCTCCTCCTTGTTTAATCTCACAGCTGAAGCAATGGATTATCTCTGAATGAACTAGTTAGTGCGGGGACTCAGGTAGCACTCAGTACTCCGGCTCGATGCCCTCTATCAAGTCAGTGCCAGAGGGGCAACCACTTAGACAAAAGCGCCTCTCCAAACATGCTGTCCACACAGAGAAGCTGACCACAGCAGGCCAAACAGCTGTTTTCTGAAGAGGTGGTCACCAGTATCTACTCTCAGTTGTTGACTTCCTCCTGTCTTTCTCTCAGGCATCTTAGAAACCTGCTGCACTGTGGACACATGTCCCCATCTTTCTGACTTGCCACTGCATCACTGGCCATTGTGCTGTAACCCTGTGCTAGTCAGTAGGTCAGCCATGTGGACATCGTGAGATGAGGTTCACCATTTCCCTAGCCTGGAGACAAGACTCTCTGGAGAAGGCTGGTGCTGCGTGAAAGCTGTCAGTTCATAATAAACAATGCAAACCTTAAAAAGGAACTAAAAACTACCTCAAAATGCTTACCTTTTCTAGGTTAAATTCTTGAATACCCACATCTTTTTCAAAGGCCTTTGTTTTATTCTGCAAAGAAAACAAATTCTTATTGGAAACTACCAATTAGCCAGGTATGGTAACATACACCTGTACTCTAAGGAGAAAAGAGGTGGGAAGTGGCTACAAATGTGAGGCCAGCTTGGGCTACATCATGAAACCTTGTCTCAAAACAAACAACCCAACAACTCTGTGTATATGTATATAAAATAAAAATTAAAAACAAAGCAAAACAACATCCCCAAAAGTACCCGCCCCCCCACAAGCGCTGGCAAGGATGTCGAGAAACTGAAACCCTTATACACACTGTAGGCAAAAATGCTAAGGGTGCAGCTGCTATGGACAATGTGTGGCATTTCCTAGGAACAGTAAAAACAGAGTGGGCACATAATCGAGTCGTTCTGCCTTGGCAGGGGTTTCCAGAGGCACCTGGACACCAAAGTCACAGTGGCAGTGTTCACAACAGCTGAAATACAAGGGCAACCGGGGGGTCTACCCACAGATGAACAGGTTAAGTGGTTTGTGCTCACCCTCTAAAAGTGAGGCATTTCGGGGGGGGGGGGGGGAGGGGGCGCACTGGGGGGGGTGCCACCCTTGGGGGGGGGGGGGGGGTAAAGTTCCATAGCAGAGGGCTAATCTAGCAAACATGAGTCAACACTACAAAAAATAAACCAAAGAGCAGAATTCTGTTACATACCATGTCACAGACACATAGGAGGGCACTGTGATATAAGCCAGTCACAGAGGGCAAGTAGTGACTCCATCCCACAAGGGGCATTGTCACTTAACAGAGAAAGCAGGTAATTCTCGGTTCCCGTTGCTGTGTCCTACACCACAATGTCGGTCACTACCCTACTGTGAGCAACGCCCCTCTTCAGCGGTCTCTGCGCCAGCCCTACCCCAATTCTGCAAGGTTGGCTGTGGCTGCTGCAGGCCTGGGAACCACCCTTCTTGTGTCATGGCCTAGCCGTGGAGGCCAAGAAGACCGATGTGCAGGACAAGCCCCAGGTGAATGTGGGTACCATGGGCCATGTGGACCACGGCAAGACCACCCTAACCATGGCCATCACAAAAATTCTAGCTGAGGGAGATGGAGCTAAGTTCAAGAAGTACGAGGAGATAGACAATGCCCCTGCGGATTGAACTCGGGGTATCACCATCAATGTAGCTCATGAGGAGTATAGCACTGCTGCCTGCCACTATGCCCACAGACTACCATGGTCATGCAGATTATGTTAAGAATATGATCACAGCCAGGTGTGGTGGCGCACGCCTTTAGTCCCAGCACTTGGGAGGCAGAGGCAGACGGATCTCTGTGAGTTCGAGGCCAGCATGGTCTCCAGAGCGAGTGCCAGGATAGGCTCCAAAACTACACAGAGAAACCCTGTCTCGGAAAACAAAACAAAACAAAACAAACAAAAAAAAGGATATGATCACAGGCACTGGCGCCCTGGATGGCTGCATCCTGGTGGTGGCAGCTAATGACAGCCCCATGCCCCAGACCTGAGAGCACTTACTACTGGCTAAACAGATTGGGGTGAAGCACACTGTGGTGTACGTGAACAAGGCAGATACTGTCTAGGACTCAGAAATGGTGGAGCTGGTAGAGCTGGAGATCTGGGAGCTGCTCACCGAGTTTGGATATAAAGGATAGGAGGCCCAGTCATCATAGGCTCTGCTCTTTGTGCCCTTGAGCAACGTGACCCTGAGCTAGGTGTGAAGTCAGTACAGAAGCTGCTGGATGCAGTGGACACTTACATTCGAGTGCCCACCCGGGACCTGGAGAAGCCCTTTCTGCTCCCCATAGTCAGTTCATTCTGTTGCTGGCCGGGGCATAGTGGTGACAGGTACACTAGAGCATAGCATTTTGAAGAAGGGAGATGAGTGTGAGTTGCTGGGACATAACAAGAACATTCCCACTATAATGACAGGCATTGAGATGTTCCACAAAAGCCTTGAGAGGGCTGAGGCAGTGGATAACCTGGGTGCTCTGGTCCAAGGCTTAAAGCAGGAGGATTTGAGGCAAGGCTTGGTCATGGTCATGGTCAAGCCAGGCTCCATCCAGCCCTACCAGAAGGTGGAGGCCCAGGTTTACATCCTCACCAAGGAGGAGGGTGGCCGCCACAAACCATTTGTATCTCATTTTATGCCTGCCGTGTTCTCCCTGACTTGGGACATGGCCTGTTGTGTTATTTTGCCTCCAGGGAAGGAGCTTCCCATGCCTGGAGAGGACTTAAGAGGCTCAGCCTAGTTTTGTGGCAGCCCATGATCTTAGAGAAAGGCCAGCATTTCACTTTGAGGGATGGCAACAAGACCACTGGCACTGGCATTGGCACGGACATACCAGCCATGACCGAAGAGGACAAGAACATCAAGTGGAGCTGAGTCTGGACTTCTTCTCAGGTTGTTGAGCTTAGGGCTACCTTGGCCACCATTCCTTCCTGTGGACACAAGCTGCATTCAAGCAGAGTACAACTATGAACATTTCTCCTGCTCACAAGGAGTGGCCTGCCTGGATAGGCAGGCAAATAAACTGTTCCGTATTGCTTGGGGGGGGGGGGGAGGCAGAGAAAGCAGAACAGAGATATTGGGCCGGAATGGGGGCAACTGCAGGAGGAAGACACTTTGAAGATGGCAGGTGGCGATGGCTGTTCACCACTAATAAGTTATGTACCAAACTGTTATGTTTTGTGTATTTTATCACAATGATAAACTGTAAAAGAAATCTTGAATCCAGCCCACACATCTAGGTATAAATTCCACATGCTGACAAAATCTTTACAAACACTTTGCAGAGTAGAGGTGGAGAGCATGCTTTTGTTTTTAAATGTTATTTTTTATTTTATGTGTGCTTAGTTGTGTGTATGTGCACCATGTGTGTACAGGAAGCAGTTGGAAGAGATGTTGTCTACCCTAGGAATGGAGTTACAGATGGTTCTGAGCCACCAATGTAGGAAACTGAACCTGGGTCCTCTGCAAGAGCAGTAAGTGACTGGTCTTGCATCTCTTCAACTCCAAGAGCACGTGTTTTAAGGACTCAAGGCTTTAAGGGAAGATGAAACAAGAAAAAGCAAAAAACAAATCTGTCTTTCATGGACCAGACAGAAAGTTCTTCTTGGCAAGAAGCTGGGCAAAGCACTGGCATCTAAGCAGAAGTCTTAAATCACTGCCTCCATGTTCTTTCTTCTCCTGCTCCCTCCCCATCTGCTAGAATGACAGTTCTCTGAGAAGCATCAGCTTCCTGGCTGTGGTGAAACTTTGGTTCCTAACTTCTGGTGACACTGCTGTTGCAAAGGCTTTCAAGATTGTGGCTTCTAAGTCACACACCCTGGCTGTGGCTTCAGGTCTACAGGACTCTCTAGATGCTTGAGACTTTAAGGAGACTATTGTCAAAGACAAAGACATTTGGCCAAGAATAGTTACCATCTAATCCCAGGCTCCATCTGTCACAGTAGCAAGAGAGTTATAAATTCCATACAACCTCTAAAAAAGATGTTGTGCCACATAGGGGCCAATGGTGACAGCCAGAGTGGCTGTCCTGCTTTCTCAGGGCACAGTCCCTGCCCTACATAGTAAGGATATCCAATCACAATGCAAACCCCGTCCCCTGTTTTCTTCTCCATATAGGAGCTGTGCTCCAGGCTCAGTAAACCAGCCTGTGGGCTAGCTGACTTGCCCCAAAGCATTTCGTTCTGTGCTGCTTAGATTTAAAAAAGAAAAAAATTGCCAGGTATAGTTAAACACATCTTTAATCCCAGCACTTGGGAGGCAGAGGCAGGAGGATTTGTTAGTTCAAGGCCAGCTTGGTTTAGATAGTGAGTTCTAGGACAGCCAGAGCTACATAGTGAGACCCTGTCTTGAAAAACATAAAACAAAACCTGCCCCCAACCAAAGAAAAGAAAATGTTATTAGTGGGCTAATGAGATGACTCAGCTTTGGGTAAAGGCACTTTCCACAAAGCCTAATGACTTGAGTTTATTCAGTGGGTCCAACATGGCAAAAGGAGGGAACTGAATCCTACAGGTTGTCTATCCTCTGACCTCCAACAGGTGCACCATGGCACCCACTACCCTGTGCACAAACAAATAAAATGTAATAGAAAAATCTAGGTAGACAAACATTTAAAATTATTAATTAGAGTGGGTGGGTAAACAAACACTTTTTTTCCCAAATGAAGGCAGTTTTAAAAATACTAAGAATGCAGGGCAGTGGTGGCGTATGTCTTTAATCCCAGCACTCAGGAGGCAGAGGCAGGTGGAGACCAGAGTTCGAGACCAGCTTGGTCTACAAGAGCTAGTTCCAGGACAGCCTCCAAAGCCACAGAAAAACCCTGTCTCAAAAAACACCCCTCAGGAAACCACAAAAAAACAAAACGAAAACCCAAAACACTAAGGACTTATTCACGTTGGCCAGTGTGAAGTACCTCAACTAGATGACTCTCTTCTTAAAAACATGGCCTTTTGGGAGCTCAGAATGAAGAGGGTGAGCTGCAAAGGACTCTGCTGTCATGGCTATTTGGCAATGACCTGGGGATTTGTCTTCAGGTCTGGTGATGCCTCCGGCTCTTCCCACTGGTCTTATCAAAGGCCACAGAACCCAAATAACCTGTATTCTATCTCCCAAGCAGCAGCTAAGTACATAGCCTGGAAGCCAGAGAGCTTGAGGTCAGAACCCGACTTGTGCTGCTTCAGATCCACAATCCTTTATCTGAATGGTCAGTCAGGGTCAAGTTCTGTCTGCAATACCAAACACTGAGAGGCCCAGGACCTTCAGGTGGACTGGAACCCATCAGCATATACCTCCATAACAGCTGGGGGCATATCTCAGAGGGAGAGGCTTGCCTGTGTGTGGAAGGCCCCTCCCTGCTCCATCCCTAGCACCAGGGAAATAAACCACTACCTGTAAAATTCATGTCAAACAGAGGAAACACAAGTGATTTTTGAGAAGCCTTATGATGTTTGTCTGCCAAATAAATTTGCATTAATTTAAAGAACCAAACAGAACCCTGTCAAGTTGTGCTCACAAGCTCTGAATGGCACAGGTGGTACGAAGTACACTTAGCTGCAGACCAATGACCTCACCTCACAGGCCCCAGGGCCAATGGGTGGGCACAAGCCCCAGCATGTGGGTAGGGAGCAATGGCAATGGCAGTTCCTATGCAGAGTGAGGACACAGGGTCCCCTTCTCTTCCTGCTTTCAGTCCCCACCTTTTTGTTCTGAAACTGGGTCTCTCTATGTAGCCCAGGCTGTCCTTGAATTTACAGGGATCTGCCTGAGGGTGGGATTGAAGATGAGTACAACCATGCCCTGTTTTGGTCCCATTTTGGTTAGGTCATTAAGGAGCCTAAGATTTATAGAGTAGCGACAGTAGAGACCTAGCAGCTTGAGGGAAATGAGAACAACCCTACTGATACTGGCCTAGGAGCCAAGTGCTACCTGAATGGCTTCAGGCTATCTGACGTACTGCTTAGAAGCCCAAGAATGGCCTTCATCTTGCAAAGCTGAACTCCCATTAAAAAAACAGGTTCTTTCATTTGCTCCTCAAGTCCCAATCTAGGCCACCCCATTTCAAATCCATCCAGAGTCATAGCTCCCCACATACTTAATTGATTTTTGCTTTGTTTTGATTAGAAGGACCTCATCATGTAGTTCAGGCTGGCCTGGAACTCTTTTTGGTTTTGTTTGTAACCCTGGCTGACTTGCCTTCATGTTAATCCTCCTGAGTCCAGGGATTATAGAAATAAGAATCATACTTGGCTGTCTTCATGTACTTTAAAGTACAAAATCTCACAGTTGCCTCTAAAACCTGGGAAGGGCTGGCTTCCCCAGCTTCTGTGCTGCCATCTCATGCCACCGTCCCCTCTGTCCTACTCCTGCTGGTCTTCCAGCTCTTTGAACCAGTCAGGCACCTTGCACCCATGGGGGCTGGCAAGGCTGTTTCTCTTGCTTATGTGGCTCTCTTCTTTCCCTCCAATTACTATTTAATACTGAGCACTACCTGCTCAGGCAGGGCCTTCCTCCCTGACTACTACTCTACCTAGAGTAGGCTATTTGTTTCTGTGTTTGCAACTCTTTACATTTATAACTTTATAACCACAGCAGACAGTTCAGCATTCACATTCCACTGCTGGTCTCTAGGGACAGCCAGGTAGCAGGTGCACAGTGACTTGTAGAATAAAGAATTGCTTATCTAAGTTTACTGTGAAAAGACTTCTGAAATGGTGCCATGTTCCCAGACAAGCCCATTAAGCCTGTGACGATGTACGACACATAGCTTGGTTGTAGAATTTATGGCTTGGGTCTAAGTTCTGAGGGAAAGATCATTTTCAGGGGTTAGGTAGGGCCAGACAGCTGGACAATTTCCAAAATTCACTACCACCTCTTCCTTTCTCAAGTTCTCCAATTCCATGAGTGTCAAATGGAGTTTATCATCAGTCACTTTCTCTGCCACCTGCCTTGGAATGCCTTATGATAGTGTCCCTGCTTTGAGAGAACAAGGCTCAACTTGACAGCCTGCAGTCATTCTAGTCCTGAGCAATGAAGAAATCCAGTCTCACACAATGCCAACTCTTTTGCCCATTCTATTAATAGGCAAAACTTTCCACTCTAAAAAAAAAAAGGGGCAAGAGTGAATGCAAGAAACTGGGTCCCGGAACATTTGAGGCAGGGAGAAAGTGTACGGAGATAGGTCATGTTAGTTTTGGAATCTGGTTAACACTGAAAATAATGCTTTCCTACCTTCCTACACTGTGGCACAACATAAAAGACATATTCTTGTAGGCTTCTAAAGGAGTAAAGGAGATGGCCAAGGGCTATTCCTTGGCCTACCTATTATGGTCCCAGTGCTAATAATTGAAGCATGAGTGGGAAGCTGACCTAGAATCCTAAAGTAAGAGCAGGTATTATTGATTGCAAAACCCGGTGTACTAATAATCTGAGGAAGTGCTGTGAGCACTAGGTGTGAAATGGCATTTAAATTCAAAACCACTAATGGATTTGTTTGTGTTTTGCAGTACTGGGTAAGGAACCTAGAACCTCCTGCATGCTAGGCAAGGGCTATATCACTGAACCTTTCAGTCCAAGGAATGCTGTTTAAAACAATAAGAATGTAGCAAAAATTGGCATTAACACACATTTACACAGCCATAAAGAATAAAGTTGAACTGTAGCTATCAAAAAGATAATGGCATGTCCTAATCTCAGAAACCTGTTTATGGGACCATATCTGGAAAAATGATCTTAAGAGTGCAATTAAAGCTCTCTAGAGTCGAGGAGCACCCTGGATTTAGGGGAAGCCCTAAACCAATGATAGATGCTAATGATAGGTGCCCTGAGACAGAGAGAGAGAGAGGTACAGGAACTATGGGCTTAGACCCATGGGGCTAAGAAGCATTTAAAGGTAAGTCAGAGACTACAGTTATACCATCAAGAGCCATGGGATGCACGGGGCCACCCTGGCCAGAGGCCAGGAAGGCTTCTCTATTCCTAGAGTCCTCGGAGGGAACAGGCCCTACCATATGTGGCTTTGGACTTCTGGCCTCTACAAGACTAATAATTCTCTATTGCTTTGAGGCACTGTGTGGTAATTTCTAACAGCTGCCTTGAGAAAATGACACAATCCCATTTTCTTTTTTGATAGGTAAGGGTAAATGTTTATGGGGCATGAGGAAGGCTAAAGAATGGTATATATCTGGATTTTAGGAATGAATTTGAAAAAACCCATTAGTATATTCTTGTTGCAAGGAAATGGGGAGGGGGGAGGAAGACCATTTGTAGGAGTAGCCACCTCACCTTAACAAACTGAATTTGGGGTAACATTTATAGTTATCTGAAGGAGAGTGCTGCACAGGAAAATAAAGTTACTTTTGTACTAGACTGTGAGTTCATGGAGCAAGAGTTGGTGTACATTTTGGTCAGTGCTATGTCCTAGGATAGTGGCTGGCACATAACAGGAATGGCAGAGAGAAAACTGGTTTTCTTCTGAGCACTAACAACCCAAAGGCTTATTAAGTAGGAAAGTTTAGCTAAGCAGGTCTGGGCTTATCAAGACCTGGAACCTTTTCTTTTGGGGAGATCAGGGTCTCACCATGTAGCTCCAGCTGACCTAGAACTCACTATGTAGACCAGGCTGGCCCTGAATTCAGAGACCCAAATGCTTCCTGTCTCCTCCCGAGCGCTGGGGTTGAAAGTGTAAGCCACCGTGCCTGGCAAAACCTGAAACTCTTAAGACAGTTTTAGATCCTTTATTTACAACTGGCTACCTCCCAAGCACTGAGCAATTAATACTCTGCTGACCAGAGTGTTTCTGTATACCTGAGGCCTCAAGGTACTAACGTCCTAAGTTTACTTAGCATTTACGTCAATGCTGAGATTTATAGTCAGTGCTCAGTTTGCTCTGGGTTATTGGGTTTGGGAACTCCGGTCAGTCAGTCAGCCTAAGATGGCTAAGAACCAAGTGCTGAGTCCTGTGAGTCATTTACCAAATGTTGGGGCCTGAAGGTAGCCTTGGGGTCTCAGTTATGGTCTATGGTCACCTAAAGCACCCTTACCACACAGGTGCAGACCAGCTGATTCATTACCTTTGTGTGCTCATCTTGATCTGACTTTGGTTTTCTTTTTTTACTTCTGCTTTGAAACGCGACCACTTCTACTAGCTTGCCGCTGTTCTTCAGGGGAGAGAGCGATACTGCAGTAGTAGCAGGGACTTCTGGTCCTGAAGGGGGAGCTGAAGGGACAGCAGGAGCAGAGTGCAGCTCTGCTTTGAGTTCCTTGAAAAAGCTGGAAGCATTCTTCTTTTGGCTTCTTGCAGGACATTCAGGCAGGGGAAGGGGCTCTGCTGTCTCATCTGCTATTGTCTCCTCGCCTCTCTTTTTTTCTCTCTTCTTTCTGATCCTTTTAGGCTCTGTTTCACCTTCTGTCTCTCCTGTTTGTTTCAACATTAAAAAAAAAATTAAAAAGTATTTCGGTGAGTTAACACCAATACCAAATGAATATCACTGTGCATATGGCCCAGACATAGGCACCCATCTGTACAAATAAAGAAACAAAGTGTTTGGGGCCAGAGTGCTTGCTGCCAGGCCTGATGACTTAAGGGAGATCCCCAGGACCAACTTGGAAGCAAAGAACTGATACCCACAAGTTGTTTTCTTATTTCAACATGCTGAGGGTGACAACATCCACCTATACAAATACTCCCTCCACATAGGTGCAACTTGAAAAGTAAAAACACAACTTTTTAAAAAAGAAACAGATTGTTTTTCAAGTAAGGTGGGTTTTTTTGCACAATTTTTATAAATCAAAATGCTGTCTTTCTTGCCTAGGTAGCTGTGTATCTATTCCTGACCTGTATTAATACAATTGCTCTAGTCCTCACACTTGCTCCTTACTTAGTGGCATCAAAGTCATATTTCCCAGGATTGTAACTCACAGGTCACCCACTCAGTTGCCTCTACACAAGTATTCCTTTTTACCACACTGCAGGGTAACAAGTACATGTCCCAGTCTTCCTGTTTTCTTTCAGTTATGAATTAAGTAGAACCCAGGAAAACTGCCTTAATTTAAACACCTTTACTTTCTACTGAATTTCTCATCTTATGTTTGTTTCCTCTGCTCAGACTCTCAACAGAAACCTGGAATTTGAACCAGAATTCTAGGCCTCATTACTGACCTACAGCATGAGCACAAGAGCTTTCTAAACACCAGCTGAGTACTCACTAAATGTGTCCTTGGAGACAATTTAACTCTGGCAGTATGCATATAAAAATGAGTCCGGTCAATGGAGCAACTAACAATGAATTCCAGCACATGTGGACACAAATTGTATTTAGGATTTTAAAAATTAGTCCTCAGACTTGTGAAAGTCGGAGGCCAAGTCTTGTCTGCCTTCCACTCCGTGGGCACAGAAAACCTGCACAGGACAAGGCAACCCGTGGAAAAATGTGATATTAGGCCCTAGGCCTATTATCCGAGCTCTGAAGGGCAACCTTTAACAAGCTCTGTTAGCTTCTGGTGCTTGTAACAAAGGATCAATGCAGGGATATATAAGGGTTGCTCTGACAGTTACTGGGGGAACGCACAAGAGCATGCACACCTGGTACGCTCTTCCACATTCTAAGTTATTTTTTAACCGTATAAGTGAGTTTAGATTTTGAGTAAGCGCTCTAAAACATAACAAAGCGTTTGTAACGTGTTTGGTTATGAAAGTCAGGCAATCTATGTGAGCTCTTCAGCCTGCGAGTGACTGTCCTTTTGTCAAAGTGCCAGATAGTTGCCTGTCTTTAGTAACACGCTCTGATTTTTCTTTCCCGCACATTGAGAAAGAGCCAAGATGTGGGTGAGAAGGCCTCAGAGAGGGAGACGCCGCAGGGGTAAGGCCAGCCGGCAAGGCGCCAGGAGATCGGGTGACCCGAGCCGCCTCCGGGTGGCACGCGGTTCTGCCGAGTCTGGGATGAGTTCAGCTGCCCTTGGCCGCCTCCTCTAGAGAGCCACGCTCACCCAGGTCGTAGAGGGTCCTCAGCACGGCATCCAGGAGTGTCTCTGAGCCAGCAGGCTCTGTCGAGTCCGATTCTCGTTCTTCCGCCATGGGAATCAGCACGGAACTCCAAACTCAGCCCACAATCCACCGCTTCCGCTTCCGGCGCTTCTGCGCGTGCTCCACTGAGCTCGGCGCCGCCTCCATCCTGGCTAAGATGGTGGCGCCCGGGGTCCCGTGCGGTGGCCGTACTGAGTGCCACCGCCCTGGGCGGATTGGAGCCGCCCCGTTCGAAAGAACCGCCCCCAGCCGCTGCACCACAGCCGCGTAGCAGACGAGCCCAGGCCCCGCCCGGGACGGCAGCCGCGCCATGGACGTTCCTAGCTCTTCCAGCTCCCGCTTCTCGGTCGGCTCTGCCAATCCCGGCACTCTGCTCCAATATGCGGTAGGCACCTGGGGCACTGAGGCCCGGGGCTGTGTCTTGGGAAAGGACAGCTCCTCCTGAACCCTGTCCCCCGAGCCCACGACCCTTGTCTTAGAGAGCGTGTCCCGACGCCCCTCTGTGTAGGATTTGGGTACTTGGCTTGGTATCCACAGCAACCATGTGCCTGCGTCTCGGTAACATGTCTGCTTTTACAAGTTTCTGTCGTTGGTGACCCCTCTGTCCCTTTCCCCTATCAGGCCTGGAGCCCGGCACATCAGCACGAGGGGAGAACTGGAGACTCCCCTGTCCACCGAGGGCGTGTCTGCAGAGTTCTGCCCCTTGAGAAACCTGCGGGCTGACGTAGCCTGCGAAGACTTGGCTCTTCAGTGGCTCCCGCCTTTTTTTCCCCCTGAAGTATTCTTGGGAGAAAAACATTCGGCTAGAATATTCGAGTAGAGTTTTAACACTCTAATTGAGGAAGACTTGAAACTTCTGGAAAATAATTGTCTCCTATTAGTTATTTTTCCACAAGTTGTTGGATATCACTCCCATTGCCACTGGCTTCACTCCAATTTGCCTCTCTACACCCCTCTTCCAGAATTACTTCCTCTTCTGGTTTTAACTGGTGGTTTGCTTAGTTTGGTTTCCAACAGAATGTTGGTCGCTTAAAATATTCATGAGCTTACAATATTCATTATCAAGGTAGAAGCTTTGTACCTCTTCACCTTGTGAGATTGTACAATCCTGGGAGACAGTTGACTTTTACTTTATGTGTATCAGTGTTTCCCTGCATGTATGTATGTGCACCATGTGGTGGTGTCTGGTGCATCAGAGGCCAGCTCTGGAAATCCAGTTAAAATTGTTGTGACCTGCCATGTGTGTGCTGGGAAAGGAATTGCTCTTAACCCTTTGAGCCATTTCTCTAGCCCTGGGGAAATTTATTTTTAATAGCTTATTTTGAAACAATCTTCATGGTTTGTACTCTGCTTTGGCTGTCCTGGACCTTGCCATCCTCATGCCCTAACCTCCAGAAGGCCATGATTACAGGTCTACACCACCACTCTTGACAAATAATGCTTTTAAAAGGATATTTCCATAGTATGGCAGTTAACACCAGTCTCTGATTTAAGTCCAGTGTAGCGTTAGCTTGTGTAGAAATGTCAAAAGAGAACACACACACACACACACACACACACACACACACACACACACGAGAGCAAAGCAAACACTTCTGGGTTTCTAAGAGAATATTGCTACCTTGAGAATAGGATATCTTTTGGAATGTGGGCAAACTTCTTTGTCTCTTAAGAACTTTACGTTTATGATTGCTGTGGCTGGAGCCTGTCGTTGACTTCACCACACAGTTCTTTGGTGGAAATACTTGACCATTGTTTTACAGTTTGTTATTCTAAAAGGAGGAATTGTTGTGGTAGATCCAATTCAAGAAACTCCTTGGCCTTTAAATGGATTTGTGTGGGGGTTGGATTTTTCCTTGCGTGTGTTAATAAAAAGGAGTTAGTTTCTACTTCATCTGTGTTTTTTTTTTTTTTTTTTTTTTTTTTTTTTTTTTTTTTTTTTTTAGTCCGAAGATTTTTGTCAACTTTATGTGTGAATAATTAAGACAGCTGGTCATGAGCATTTCCACTTTTGAAGCTGGACATCCCCCCCCCCTTTGGTTTTGTTTTGTTTTGTTTTGTTTTTTGAGACAGGGTTTACTCTGTGTAAATTTCACCTGCCTCTGGTGCCACCAATGCCCGGCTCAGTAGCCTTTAACAGTGGTTCTGTCTAATCTTTGTGACTGCCTAACTTCTTCCACCACAGTTAATTGTGCAATATTTTCTGTCTAGTCTGTAGTTCTTTAGTGATATTAAGATATTGCTAATGATGGCAAACATTAGGAGTGCCTGCAGTGTCCCAGTTTTTATTCTCAGTGCCAAAGACTGTCTTGCCTCTAAGGACACAGGAAGTGGCAAATGTAAATAGGTAGCACAATTAAGTGGGATAAATAAGGGCGGTGATTAAAGCATGCATTGAATGTTGTTGGAGTCAAGGGAAAGGACATCTGGCTCATTTGGTGACTTGAGAAGGCTTCTAAGAAATGATACCAAAACAGAGTTTCTGTAGTATGAATGCTGGGAAGTGAGGACTGCTGAAGTAATTACCTAAGAAAATCACTGCCTTGCATGTGTGGGGAAACTGATTAAAGAATGATAAAGAAAACATAAGACAGAATTAAGAACATAAGCAAAAGGTGTTTCCTAAAAGAATTTCACATATCATGGGTATCTGAGTATTTGTGGCTTTTATTGAGGATTAATTCTTCTCTTTTGTGTTGATGCTCCTGAAAATAAGAAAATCATTAGACTTCTAGCATGATTATCTGCATTAGTCATGCCTTTCCCTCTGAAGGCTGTAGGCAGAAAGAAACTCAGGTTGGGGAAGATGTGTGATTCATAAGTATTGAGATCAGTTAGGACAAATGGCTAATGCAGGCAAGGAGGTGAAGCCCAGTGAGGCTGGGAAGCACACAGCATGATGGTTTTATTTGATACTTAGGTCAGGAGATCCTTGGCCCTGGGAACCAGCTGTATCTAGGACCCGAGGAAAGTGGTGGCAGTCAGATGTAGGCTGTTGGTTTCCTGTGGTTTGGCAACTGGGCAGATGCTGATCTCTCAGTGATAGGAAGTACCAGGGAGGAGCAGGTTTAGTCAGGTAGTAGAGCAGTTTCGGTCTAGGATGTAAGGTTGTCGGCTGTGGATTATCATGATCTGGACCAGATACATCCTAAATGTTTGGGAGGCATCTAAGTAGAGTTAGGACTGTGGTACCCAAGCAAAAGAGGAGGGTGTGCCTGAGAATGTGGATTTGGCAAGTAAGTGGCAGGTAAGATGTAGCTGAAGTTACAAATGCAATCTTCCTCTGAGATTTTGTGTGCTCGGGCATGCATTGCCCCCCCCCCCCCCCCCCGTGTGTGTGTGTGTGTGTGTGTGTGTGTGTGTGTGTGTGTGTGGCCCAAGTTCACAATTCAGAACCCTGGTTGCTTGTTAGAGTTCCAGTGAAGGGTCCAGATACTTAGGGTATCCCACCTCAGACTGCACATTGCTCTTGCTCTGATTTTACCAGTCTAATCCTGCTCACTGGACATCACTGTTCTGACTTTGTATTTCTCAGGAAGTGTGCTGTCTCTTCAAAATTTCATGAACCACTCAGTATAAAGTATTTCCTTGTTGACACCTGCTTTTATCTTGAGCTCATTTAGTGGTGGCTCAGGGCAGTCCTTGTACAGGCTGGTCAGAGCTGATAGCTAAATATTTATGGCATTTGTAAGCCCATTGGTAAATATTGCTATTAATGAAAACTGAAGATTAAAGTTACATAAATTTATACTTAAATACATTTTATACAAAATAAAGATAAGTATTACCAAACAGCATTTCCCAGTTACTTACTGAACATTACTATTATCTCTGTTTGGAAGTTGGCCTCTTAGGGGAAGGTGGCACATACTCCTGTATCATCTCATGCTGCTGTGCATCTTGGCCAGTGCTGGTGAGGTCGTTCTGGTGTGAGCGGACCTTGGTGGGAGTACATGTGCTACAGAGTGCCTAAACCTGGGCTCCATTGCAGGTCACTGACCAGCATAGTGTCTGCCAGTGAAATCACTCAGTGACCTTGAACTTGACCTTCTATGCTGAAGGACATGCTTCTCTCTGGGTAGTGTCTGCTTGCCCTATTACTGTTGTATTCCGTCTATAGCAAGGAGTTTGGTGTACAGATAGCTCTCAGGTGCCACTTGCTGAAGGAAAGCAATGGAGAGGGAGGCTGTGGGAGGGCCCAAGGTACAACCTAAGGTGGGGATGTGTGTCATCCAACTTCCTGCTGGACTCTACTTGCACTGTGATATTGGGTAAGTAACCATCAAATGTGTTTACTTGCTGGCAGTAAGTGCTGCTCCTGCATGCTGCAATCCTTTGCACAGGAGGACAGGTGGTGGGGATCAGCTAACCTGGGTTCATAAAAGGTGTGGGCTTGGCTTTACAGGAACTAGAGAAATAAGGTGGTGGGGGTAGACAGGTGTGGGGGCTACTAAACCTACTTGTCAAGCTTTCTCAAAATATATATATGGTCGGTCCTCTTGCCTTTGGCTCTTAGTTGTCCTGGACCATGCCCTCAATGCATTCCTGCTGATAATGATGCTGTCCTCTGTCCACTCCTAAGGCCACTAATGGGAAGTTTCTAAGATCTCAGTTACCCTTACATTATATAATCATAGTTTGTTGAGTCCAAGTTTGAGCTGTTACTTTATTAATGAGAACTGTAAAATTGGAGAAGACTTTGCAGTCTTATGAGCAAAAGCCTATGATATGTTAGGATGACTACAATTATCAAAATGGCCAGATGCTAATGATATGTGCTACCTTTGGAATAATTGTTATCATGCATAGATACGCAGATACAGCATGTGAACACACATGTATTAAATGTGAATGGCAGGCAGAGGTCCTGAACAAGGTGTGAGTGCTTCTATGGGGAGTTCCCGAGAGCCTTCTCAGAGAAATGATACTGCAGCAGGTACAGCAGAGCAGTAGGACCACCCAGACAGATGGCTACATGCTTAGAAGGATGCCGGCAAGTCCTCTTGTGGCAGCACAGCACACTAACCAGGGAGTAAACCGTGAGTGAACTGTGTCTCAGCGGACAGGAGATCAGACATAACATATCTTACTTGACTCTGGAAGTGACTGGCCTTATTCTAAGCAGGTGGAACTCATTTAAGTATTTTAAAAAGTGAAGACTAACCTGTGTTTTGAAAAGCATACAATTAGCTGGCAGAAAGATTCACTCGGGGCACATTTAATCTAGAAGAATATTGAGATTATGAGTGCAGGCTTGCTGGGTAGCCTAGCTGAGGGTAGGGCCTGTGGGTGCCGAGTAGATGCTATACATTCTCAAAGGCCACAGTAATAGGATTGGGTGGAATGATGCCCAAAGGTGTAGCTGAGGTGGCAGTTAAGATTTCAGGAAAATAATCTTGTAGAACCCAGTCGAAAAGTGGATAGGTTTTGGAGCAATGTTGGGAATTCAGAATATGTAATGGGAGAAGAGAATCAGGTGGACGATTTGGAAGCACATGTAATTAGTGTTTTAAGCTTGCTGCAGGGCCGTGGAAGTGACTCAGTGGTAGAGCATTTGCCTAGTATGAATACTAAAAATCCTGGGTTTCATCTGTAGTCCCCCACCCCCCACTAATAAGACAAAAGGAGAGAAACAAAGCAACAACAACAACAAATCCACAAGCAACAAAATCCAGTGGAATAGGTGAGTGTGTCCAGCAGTCGTGGAAGGCAAAAGACAAGGGCTGGAGGAGGTGAGCTTTTGAACCTATAAGGAAGAAAAAGTATTTTTTGTAGTTTGAGGGGAAAACTCCCCCAGGTTAAAAGTCACTGAATTGAAGGAAGGAGGTATGTTTCTGCTGTTGATGAGAGAGCACTGGAAAATACCAAAGTGGGGAAGTTTCACTGGAGGTAGGGAAAGAAGACTAGGAGATGCTGGCTTAGCCAAAGCAAGGGCTCACACTGAAAATGCTGTGTGGTTGTGTTTAAGAACAATTGTGCCTTATATATAATTCCAAGGAGTGAAATACAACTTAAGTGTGCCACATTAACAGAGGAAGACAAAAATAATGGAAGAAATTTAAATGACAAATGACAAGGAGGGGTGTTTATGACATTATGTGAAAAAATCAAGTTGACAGTCTCAATGTGTCTGTTGGGAGAGACATGTCCCTGTGCTTAGGAGCAAGCATACCTTAGAGTAGTCTCTACATTAAGGGTTTACACATAAAGTTAGATTTTTGTTTGTTTGCTTGGTTTTGTTTGTGCTTTCCCTGAATCTTCTGGATTTTTAAGTGAGTACAAATCACTTGGTAATTATGTAACAACTAAGATATTTTAGAACAGTATTTACTATAGGGAAATACAGATAAAGAGGGAAGGTAAATTATATTTGGTAGGGCCCCTGTTTTGAATAAGACATACACATATTTCTGTAGGTGTAAATTTAAAAAATTAAGGAAACTCCTGGGCTATAGTGCTGTGAGTGCTTCGTGTTACCATGTTGCCATAAACAAGTATGGCAATCAGTGTAAGGAGCCATAGATGCCACCAAATTATGTCTCTAGTGTTTTGGAAGCCTAGGGCCTTGGGATTCCTGTGGACTGGTGAAGACAGCTGCTCAGAGGTTGTAGTGAAGATTGTTCTTCATAATGCCAAGTTCTCAGAATAGAGCTGGCACTTAGTAGCTGGCAGCCTTCATTGTGATCATTATCATTACCACTACTAATTACTTGGTCAGGAAAGCACTGTTCTAGAAGCACCACTGGACTGTGAAGCAGTGCAAGTGCTTGGTGGATGGAAACAAGCTGGGCCCACAAGAGCTGAGCACAGGTGATGAGGCAGAACAGACTGCTTATTTTATTTGACATAGTTTTGTTTTGAGACAATCTCATGTAGGCTAGGCTGGCTTTGAATCCTGATGGTTTTTCCCCACCTCTAAAAGGCATGGACTATATAGGTTTGCACCACCACACCCAACTTAGTTTGAGGCTTCTAATACATGTTTTGATTTATTTTTTATTTTTTTCTTCTTTTTTAAATTCTTTAATTACTACGCATATTTACATGTCCATCCCCCCCCATTCCCTTCTCATCCTCCCATGTTCCCCCCAACCCTCGCCAACCCATCCCCCAACTCCTCCCCAGGGATAGTGAGACCCTCCATGGGGGACCTTCAAAGTTTGTCATATCATTTGGGGGAGGGCCTAGGCCTTCCTTTCTGTATCTGGGCTGCAATAGTATCCCTCCATAGGGAATGGGCTCCCAGAGTCCATTTGTGCTCTAGGGATAAAGACTGGCTCCACTGTTAGAGGTCCCATAGACTGTCTTTGGACCCATAGGTGTCTAGCTGGCACCCACATTCAGAGGGCTTGTTTGGTCCAAGCTAAATAGAGGCAGACAAAGCAAGTTTGTCAGTATGGTACTGAGTTTACAAAGAAAGCCATCAGAAATATGCTTATCAATAGGCCAGGGCCTCTGCTCAGAGGTGGAGTGCTTGTAAAGCATATAAAAGCTAGGTTCAGTTCTTGGCCCAACAAAACAAAACCATAGGTTCCCCTTCCTGGTGGCTTAAGCCTATAATCCCAGCACTTGGGAGGTGGAAAGTAAAGATGAAGATGAAGAGTTGGAGGTTGTTTTTGGCTACATAGAGTTTGAGGCCAGCTGAGGCTACATAATAGTCCTGCCTAATATTAATAAATAATAATAATTTGGGGTCACAAAGCTGAGGCTACATAATAGTCCTGCCTAATATTAATAAATAATAATAATTTGTTTTCACAAATTATCCAATAACAATAGTTGAGTATAAACTTATTGGTCATGGTGTTGACACTTCTTTTTCTCTGTCTAGGAATCTAATATTAGAATACTCTTGCTCAGGTGTCATGCAGTGAACATTTGGGCAGAGGAAACCTTAGTAATTCCCAGTGGGCTCACCTCACTGTCTTTCACTTCCTTCTTCACAGAAAGAGCTCAAAAAGTGGGATGAGTTTGAAGACATCTTAGAGGAGAGGAGGCATGTCAGTGACTTGAAGTTTGCCATGAAATGCTACACACCCACCTTGTATAGGGGGGTCACTCCCTGCAAGCCAAGTGTTATCAAGTCCATTGTTTTTAATTCTGAAGAGATTCACTACGTCATTAAACAGGTAAGAACATTGTTCTTCAGGCACAGCCAGCCTCCTCCACTGAAAACGGGTCCTTCTCTTGTTTCCATGAATTTATTTTATCATCTCAAATGTACTTTTAGTTTTTGCTACATGACACTCAAATGTATGCTGTCCTTTTGTTAAGACCGGTAGGCCAGCCATAGAAGTAGCATGGAGCCAGTAGCATAGTAAAATAGAAGATACAACTTGCTAGTGAAGAACCCACAATTTGAGCAGAGCTAATTTGGTGTAGGGAATAAGGAAGGTTTTGTTTTTAACACTATCTGCCAGAAACTCCAGGTCTTCCTAGTGAAGGGGTGAAGAGAGTCCTTAGCTGAACATTTCAGATCAGACCTCCACATTAAAACATCATGAGAAGCTCTGAGGAGTCCTAGACCTAGTCTCATGTGTGTCAGTTGCATTATTATGTTGGGTTCGGGATGCTGTAGCAGTAGCAGAAGCCCACACTTTGGGAGCCACGATTTGTTTTCAGAACAGGTCAAAGAGAAGGTTCATGTAGAATGCTGAAAGTGGTTCAGTCTGACCAGCAGAAGACAGAAGGGTGGTGAAATGCAGTGAGCTCCAGGGGTGAGTGAGGTTCACCAGGGGCTTGGAAGCCACGTGGAAGGACTGGGTTTTGTATACACAGTGTCACGTCCTCAGATGCTCAGGTGGAGTGCCATGCAGATGGAGTACAGGAGCACAGGTCACGGTTCGGGTTTTAACTTTAGATGTGGACTTTGACCCATGCCCTTAATCCCTGTACTTTGCTTGGCCACTAACATCATGGAGATGCTATCAGTTCTCTGTGGTTAGGATTATTTCATGACCAAAGACAAGTTTTCCTTTCCAGTTAACACTCAGGGACATTACTATAGTACCCAAGTTAAGTCCAGTCAGGCATGAGTGGGTTGGGATGGGCTGGGTTCTCAGATGCATATCATCATGTTGAAGCACTGTAGCATTCTTACATGAAACTAGGGAGCACAGTCTGCATGTACCTAGGCTAGGTAGTGTGCATACATGGTGGAGCCTATTGCTTCTTGATCCAAGTTGAACAAAACATAAGATTAAATCAGCAAAAAAATTGATTCTGTCTGTCCCAATTAAATATTTGATACCTGAGGGTATCCTTAGGGAAGTAGCATACGGATTATTTTTGGTTTGGTTTCTTTGCCATGCTAGGAATGGAACCTAGGGCTGCTCACATGGTAAGCAAATGCCTTACAACTGAGCTGCATCCTCCAGCCCCATGTATGTCTTTTTTTTTTTTTTCCCCCCCCTTTTTTTTTTTTTTTTTTTTTTTTTTTTTTTTTTTTTTTCATGTGCATGGGAAGAGACTTCAAGACAAAGTCTCATGTAGCTCAGATTTCTCTTTAGTCCTAGTTTCTACCTCCTCAGTGCTGAGATTACAGGTGTGCATCACCAACCTGACTTTGAGTAACTTATTCCTCCCTATATAGGTAGGTGTGTGCTTGAATAATAGTGTGCTATAGTAAGTACATATATGTCAGTGCCAATAGCATGGTTGTTTATCATTATTAAGCATTGCATGCTAGGCATAATTTTGGGGTTCTGCTTTTATAGGCTGGTGATTCTGTGGGTTGCCACACACTTGAGTAATGTTGTCTATGACTCCATGACAACTGTGATGGCACTGGGTGATGGGAAGTTTTCATTGCCATTGTAATCTTACAGAATTGTTCTCATGGATGTATGTGGTTAGTCATTGATCAAAACTATTCCTTATGTGACACCTGGCTTCTGTAATCTAGAGCCAAAGCTCCATAAGTCAGGCACTTTGTCCTCTTTGTAACCATAGTCCCAGTGCTTCTTGTGTGGTGGACACTGAGTAAACAGAGATGGAAGCAGCAGGGCTGGGACATAACCCAGATCTCCTCAACTCTTTTTTTTTTTTTTTTCCCCAAGACAGGATTTCTCTGTGGCTTTGGAGGCTGTCCTGAAACTAGCTCTTGTAGACCAGGCTGGTCTCGAACTCACTCTTACTCATTCTCTTCTCTCTCTATCCCATCTTCCTCCCCTTCTGGATGTAAAACTCCATAAGTAATCCTCCCATTTTTTGTTGTTGTTTTCACTTGATTGGTTTTGTTTATGAGCCAGTTTCTCAGACCTGCCTAGAACTCATTGTATAGCTCAGGAGGGCCTCAAGCTCTGGGTTCTTCACTTCCAACTCCTAAGTGTAGGGATTTCAGACTTGAATGGCCATGCCCGGCCCAGGAAAGCATTTGATTTTGGGTTTTGTTTGTTTATTTGTGTTTCTTTGTTTTGTATTGGTTTCTTGCTTGAACTTTCACCTCCCTATTGTCATCCACACCTTTCAGTGACTCTGGCATTTTCTTTTCTTCCCTGCCTCCTGCTTATTTAATTCTTAGGTAACTTGGGTTAATGTAGGCTCTTTGTTTGCTGAGCCACTGTTTGATGTAACCTCTTGAGTAAAATGAAGGAGCACTGTAAGAGGTGACAGTTACCCAGCCCCTCCTTTCTGGGCTGTTGAACTGAGAACAGATAAGGAGTAGATAAGGGATGTGGCAACACTGAACTGTGTGTGTGTGTGTGTGTGTGTGTGTGTGTGTGTGTGTGTGTGTACACAGGCCAGAGGAGGTTAACTTTGGTTGCCATTTCTCAGGAGCCACATGGATTCTTTTTGAATTTCTAGTCTTTTTGGGGGGGGTGGGGGGTTCTAGACAGGGTTTCTCTGTGGCTTTGGAGGCTGTCCTGGAACTAGCTCTTGTAGACCAGGCTGGTCTCAAACTCACAGAGTTCCACTTGCCTCTGCCTCATGAGTGTTGGGATTAAAGGCGTGTGCCACCACTGCCTGGCTGAATTTCTGGTCTTTAAACCTGCTTAAATTGAATCATTTTTCACTGAATATGGTGGACTCTTAACAGTCCTGGCAGTCAGTAAGCGGAGGTGGAAGGAAGGTGAATTCAAGGCCAGCTTGTGCTCCATAGAGAAACTGCCTAAAGCAGGATAAAGAATGACTTAACATCATTTACCATTAGTGAATTGGGTCAGATCTAGTCAAGAAGAGCACACACTGTCTTAGAATCACATCATAGGGTCAGTTCGGAATTAATCACATTGGTTTGAGTGAAAGGAGCTCTGGTTTCTATTTTTCAGAATTCATCCCTGCTCTGCCTTCCTTTCAGCTTTCCAGGGAGTCCCTTAGATCTGTTGATACCCTCCGAGAGGAAGCCAGTTCGATCCTGGAGGAAATGAGCCACAAACTGCGGGTGGGAGCCATTCGATTCTTTGCCTTTGTCCTGAGCAAAATTTTTAAGCAGATTTTCTCAAAGGTGTGTGTGAACGAAGACGGCATTCAAAAGGTGAGGATTGCTTGTACAGACATCTTGTCCCTATCCTGTGGTATAATTGATTCTAAGACATCCCACTTAGACTGAATCCTGAGGGCAGGTTGTCAGGCATCCACTGTGAGCCCCAGGGGACATGCTGTCTGCAGCTTGTTCTTCCTTTTAATGTCAGACTTGCAGACTTCCAAGTTAGTCAAGTAAGACGTCTAGACCACTTGTGTGTCCCATGTGTGTTCACGGGTTACAAAAGTAAGAGAAGGAGTTTTTGTCTGTGCACATGCAGATTCCTTTCCAGCATTTCCACTGTCACGTCCTACTATGCTGGTGTGATTTCCTATAAACAGACATTCTCTTAGGATATAGTAGTCAAGGTTAGTTAACTTGATTATAACACATGTAGTATAGACCTTACTGCCAGCTCATCACTTGCCCTGGTTATATGCTGTATTGTGCCCCTGTTTCCTTAGATGTCTTTATTTATTGACAGGATCTCTAGCTCATATTGTCCTTGAAGTCCCCGTGTAACCAAAGATGACCTTGAATTTCTGATCCTTCCACCTTCATCTCCCAAATGCCCCAAATGCTGAGATAATAGGCATGCACTACCTTAGTCTCTCAGGTTCTGGGATTGCAGATGTGAGCTACCATGCTTTACCTTTACCATGATTTACCTTTCTGTTTTCTGATTTAAGCTATGATTTTAGTGACATGACAACTGAAATTCTTGAAAATTTGACCTTTTTTTCAAGCTACAACGAGCTGTCCAGGAGCACCCTGTAGTCCTGCTGCCCAGTCATCGGAGCTACATTGACTTCCTCATGCTGTCTTTTGTTCTGTACAACTATGATCTACCTGTGCCAGTTATTGCGGCAGGAATGGGTGCGTGCATAGTCTTCATCCATGATTTTAAACTGTACAGACTTACCATTCACTAGAATGACAACAAGAGTACTAAAGAATTTGAAGGGTACCAACAGCAACTTTTCTGAGTTCCTGTCTTCCATGGTGTGGTGGCCCAATTTGGACCCTGTGCTGTGCAGTCCTATGACTGAGCAGACATGAAAGGCATCTGTGCACATGGGATTCTTTGGATTAGGTTTGAAAAGGAGGCTATCCCACTTTGTCATATTTCCTGCTTTTTAAATTTTGATAATATAGTCGTAGTGATCATTCTAGATCACAAATAGATAGGGCTTTTAAAACATATTCTCAGTTTTGGTAAAATATATATAACAAAGTCTTGACTTGTTTAAGTGTGCAATTTTAGAGGAACTGAGTGCATTCATATTATTGCAGCTCCCTTGTTCCTGTCTGCTCTAGAATCCTTCACATCTTGCAAAACTGACACTTACTAACTTTGCTTTGCTTTTCTCCTACCAGAGGCGGCCACCATTCTATTCCTTGCCTCTGCAGCCACACACTCTGCAGCCACACTCTCCTGTGACTGACTGATTTCATTTAGCTTGGCAACCTCAGTGTTGTAGCTTGTGTCTGAATTCCCCTCCCTTTTAAGGCTGAATAATAGTCCATTGTATGGATGTACCACATTAATTTTATCCTTTAACCTGTGTGTGGACACTTTATTTGCTTCTGTCATTTGGTGAGTTCAGGTAACACTGTCTTGGTTAGGGTTACTATTGCTGTGATGAAACAAAAGCAAGTTGGGGAGGACAGAGTTTATTTTGTTCACAGTTCTGTATAACAACATATATCATAAGCAGTGATGGCAGGAACTCAAACAGGACAGGAGCCTGGAGGCAGGAGCTGATGCAGAGGCCATGGAGGGTGCTGCTTACTGGCTTGCTCCCTTGGCTTTGTTCAGCCTGCTTTCTTACAGAACCCAGGACCACCAGCCCAGGGCTGGCACCATCCACATTAATAACTAATTAAGAAAATGCCTTATAGTTGGATCTTATGGAGGCATCTTCTCGGTTGAGGCTCCTTCCTTTCAGATGACTCTAGTTTGTGTCAAGTTGACACAAAACCAGCCAGGACACACTGTTGTGAATGTGGGGTTTAAAAGTATTTACTTACTTATTTTGGTTCAGGGAATAGAACCCAAGGCCTCAGGTATGCTAAGGAAGCCCCCACTATGAATGCTGTTTCTGCAATTGCTATGAACATGGGAGTACATGTATTAGTTAGGGTTTCTAAGCTATGATAAACACCATGATCATAAACAGCTTGGGAAGGAAAGGGTTTATTCTGCTTACACACTTCCACATCATAGTGTACCACTGTGAGAAGTGATAAACAGACACATCAAAACTGACAAACCATGTCAACCGATGAAGATGGTTACTATTGAAGAAACAAGGAATTCAGGTCAGAAACTAAAACAGGGCAGGGACTTGGAGGTAGGAGCTAATGCAGAGGCTGTGGAGGGGTGCTGCTTACTGACTGCTCTCCATGGCTTGCTCAGTCTGCCTTCTTATAGATACTAGGACCACCAGTTCAGGGATGGCACTGCCTACAATGTGTTAGGCACTCCCACATCAATCATTAATCAAGAAAATGGCCTACAGACTTGCCCACAGCAATCTGATGGAAGCAGTTTCTCAGTTCAAGTTCCTCTTCCTAGAAAACTCTAGCTTGTGTCAAGTTGACAGAAAACAGCTGAACAGTACACATATCTGATCCCTCAATAAATACATCACTGGGTTATGTGGGAACTTTTTTGAGGCCCACCATACTGTTTTCAGTTGTGTCCATATTGCTCTGTGTTGCCAGCAGTATTGCATAGAAGTGAGATCATGTGTCCACCGGGACATGGCATGCACATGCTTTTGTTTCATCGGGAGTAACTGTCTTTGTGGGTATAGCATGGTTGTCATGCTTTTGTTGTGTTTCTCACTGATGCTGAGTACCTGTTCATGTACTCTTCATCATCACTGAGGTGTTTTATCTGAGGAGGGTTGTTTGGCTGCTTGAGTTTTGAGATGGGATCTGTATTGCCCTGACTGGTCTTGAATTTCTCAGTTGTAGTTATCCTCCTGCCTCAGCTTTCCGGATGCTAGGCACATCGGTCCCTATGGAGATGTCTTTGTGGGTCTGTCTCCCAAGTTTTGGGTTGTCCACCTTTTTGCCATTGAGCCATGGGAGTCCTCTGTGTCCTGAACACTTGACCATAGATACAGGATTGGCCAGTTCATCTCCATTTCACTGGTCACCCTTCCATTCTGTTGACTGTGTCCTTTGATGCACAAAAGTTGTATATTTCGATAGAGTCCAATTAATCTTTTTGTTCATTTGTCCCCTGAGTATTTTGTGTCATAACCAAGAATTTGTTACCACATCCGGTGTCGTGTAAATTTTCTGTGATCCCCTTCTAAGAGTTTTATAGTTCAATGCCTCTATTTGGCTCTTTGAACCACTTGGTTGATTTTATACTGACATAGAGTTCATGTCTCATTTTACCTTGACACTGTGTGGTTGTGTACTGTATAAGTGTTGTCACTCTAAACCACACTGCTTTGTAAATGTATATCCATGCTTTTGTAGAATCCATTCATAGAATCTGTACTGTACTGGTTCCCTTTCAAGGTCTCTAGGAAAGTAGGGATTCCAGTGTTAATAAATGTAGTGAATCAATAAGGTTAAAAGCTGCAGGGACTTGCAGGCCTTAAAAAGTGCTTTCTTCTCAATAAATAGGGGAGGAAGTGATTTGAAGACCAGAAAAAATGAAAACTATTTAAACTGCTGGGGGAACCTTGGCTTTTTGTAGACCTGCTTTATTTAACTCATTTCATTAAAAGTAGGCTGATATTTTTACTTGGTGGTGGAGAGATGAGAGTAGGTTGTCCTGGCACTCCAGAGTATGGGAGCACATGCCACTTCAGTTTCAAAGCATGGCTGAGGATACTGGCCTTCTGACATTGTGGTCATGTTGCTCTGCCATTGCCTTTGTCCCTGGTGGCTTGTAAATACCATGGTGACAAAAGAGGTACAAGGTCACCTCCCAGCAGGCACCTGATTCAGAGTCTTTTACATAGTCCTACTAGATGGCCTTTGTTTTCATTTTCATTTACATATTTTTGGTTTTTCGAGACAGGGTTTCTCTTGTAACTTTGGGGTCTGTCTTGGAATTCACTCAGTAGACCAGGCTGGCCTCAAACTCACAGAGATCTGTCTGTCCCTGCCTCCCAAGTTGCTGGGACTAAAGGTGTGCACTACCACCACCCAGCCCATTTTTATTTTTTGTGTATATATGTTGTGTGCATCTGTATACATGTATGAGGATGCACATGCATGTATGTGCATGTGAGTGCATGTTTGTCTGTATGTGTGAGCATGTTGGGTGGGCGCAGAGGGTGACATTGGAGTATGGGGGATGTAGACCAGAGGTTGACATTGAATGTCTTCTATTGGTCACCTTATTTTTAGAGACAGGGTCTCACTGAATCTGGAGCTCACTGATTTGGCTAGACTAAGGGGCCAGTTAGTTCTAGAGATTTTAATCACTGCCTCCCCACTCCGCATTGGAGTACAGGTGTGTGCTGCCATACCCTGCTTGTCATGTGGATGCTGGGAATTGAATTCATATTCTCATGCTTGCATGGCAGACAATTTACACTGAGCCGTCTCCCTTTCTGCTCTTTTTCTGAGTTAATCTCACAAATATTAACTATCGCTGTCACAGGACACATGTCTTATTCATGAACTTCTCAATAGTGTTTACATATAGATTTTTGTTTGCATATTGCCCCTTCCTTGTTTTGTAGACTTCCTAGGAATGAAATTGGTTGGTGAGCTACTCAGAATGTCTGGGGCCTTCTTCATGCGGCGCACCTTTGGCGGAAATAAACTGTACTGGGCTGTATTCTCTGAATATGTGAAGACCATGCTACGGGTAAATGCAAGTGCTCCAGGGACCTGGAGCTGCAGAGCTGTCTTGCTCTTCACTTCTGAATAGCCCCTTAGCTGTCATTTCCCCTCAAGGAGCATACAAATTCCCAGTGGTCCCTCATCTTAGAGGCATCCTTGTTTAAGTTTCTGTGAGCAGTGTTTGTTTAAATGGCAGAGGGCACTTGGGATAAGGAATCAGAAAAAGCTATTTCTTAGGCTCTGGATGTGGTTTAGTGGTAGAGTGTTTGCTTAGTGGTAGATTGCTTTCATAGTATATGAGAGGTCATGGGTTCAGTCCCAGAGTGTGTACACACACACACACACACACACACACACACACACACACACACACACACACACGGGGAGGGGGCAGGACATAAAAAGAGGCTTGTGTTATTTTGAGAGTAGACAATGGGTTTTGTGTATTTGTTGTGTTCTCTTTTAAAGAATGGTTATGCTCCTGTTGAATTTTTCCTCGAAGGGACAAGGAGTCGCTCTGCCAAGACCTTGATTCCTAAATTTGGTAGGTTCCTTATGTATTAGAATCACATAAACCCTCAGACCTCAGGTGTGGTGTCGCTGTGGCTGCCAAATAGAACTTGATACTTCTTTGACAAGATACTGTTTTCTTTATAAATAGAACTGTTCCCTTAAGTGTAGCTATTTTGGATATTTAGATATCTTTTTTATTTTTCTTTATTTTTTTTTTCCTGGCTGGGAATAGGATATAGCAGAAGTATAGAGAATCAAAGCACTGGGCACATGTAGCAAGAGCAGACACTGCCTGTCATCACTAAGGAAGTTTGGGGGCTCTCCTGGAAACATGGATTGCGGTTGTAATCTTCATGTATATACATATATGGTTTATTTGTGTCTCACTCAGTAGCCCATGCTGGCATGGAACTCATTGTAGCTTCATCTGGCCTCAGACTTGCTGCCAGCCTCCTCCCTAAGCTTCCCAAGTGCTGATATGATAAGTGTGAACTGCCATGCCCAGGTTCTGTCTGTTTTGGGTTAGTGAGAGGCAGAAACTCAGGTGGTATGGGTGTGTTTTGTGGAAGGCTGGCTATATCTGTTCCTGGTTTGACTTCCCAACTGGGTTATTTCTCCTTTCATTGTGGGATCAGTAACAAGACTGACCACTAGCTGGGCAATGCCAGATTTTATTCTTAGCCAAGAATGGGACATGTTGGAAACAGATTTAGGATTCACCTTCTAAACCCTATGGGAGGGAGGCTGTAGGTTCAGTGTAGAAGGAAAGAGGGAGGCTGATATATTATTTATGAGCCCTCATGTGCCCTGCTCTTTAGTATACATGGTAAAATATTGCTTCCTGTGTTTACAGGTCTCCTGAATATTGTGATGGAACCATTTTTTAAAAGAGAAGTGTTTGATACCTACTTTGTCCCAATTAGCATCAGTTATGATAAAATATTAGAAGAAACTCTTTATGCCTATGAGCTGCTAGGAATTCCTAAGCCAAAGGAATCCACCACTGTAAGTGAGATAGCCAAATTTGATTTTCTTTGAATATAGAGAATACCCTGGCTTACCCTCCACTAATTTACAAATGTATTCCTGTTTTCTTTCTCCCTCTTGTGATGCCACCAGGGGTTGTTGAAAGCTAGACGGATTCTCTCTGAGAACTTTGGAAGCATCCATGTATACTTTGGAGACCCTGTGTCACTGCGCTCTCTAGCGTCAGGGCGGCTCTGTCGGAACCCATATAACTTGGTGCCAAGGTGCAAGGCCTGTGTTTTAATACCTGACACAGAAATGAGAAGTAAAATCCACAAGTGTGAATCGGGACTGTTGAGTTGACGGCCTCTGAGAACAAACCTTGGCTTGTCTGAGCTCTCCCAGCAAATTGCCAGGGAAGCCCTGGCATTACATGTTCATCAGTGGAAAGCTTCAATTAAAGAACCTCATGTTTGAAGCCAGCATGGTGGGGCATGTCTGTAATACCAGCCCTCACGAGGTGGAGGCAGGAGGATCAGGAATTCAAGGTTATCTTCAGCTACATAGCAAGTTTGAGACCAGCCTGGTTTACATGAGACCCTGTCTCAAATAGCAAATAAACCCAAAGAACTATTTGCCACACACACACTTCATCCCCAAAGTGCTCACCCATAAAACAAACAAACAAAAAAAGATAAGCTGCAAACTGTGTGTGCCAATGTGTAGCCAGATGATTGGACATCCTCCTTAGGCTCCAACTTAACAGTGGGGACAAACAACACCATAGTTAAGAAGCTCACACACAGGGATTATGGACACAACTGTGGGCCAGCTAATATGTCTGAAGTACTTCTTTAGACCCTAGGAAGAAGTACAGAGTAGCAGTGAGCAGGATAGTGCCCCTGTTCTCAGTCCCACTGGGTTGTCTAAGGGTTCAGGGCACAGATGAGCATTTGTGTTTTTTTTTTTTCTTTTTTTCAATTAGATTAATTGATTTATTTTGTATGTTTGTGGGTGCATGCAGGTTGTCAGGCTTGGCAGCAAGCCCCTTTACCCACTGAGCCATCTCACCAGCCCAAGCATTTGTGTTTTCTTAGAGTCCCCTCGGGAAGTGAGGCAGACATACCCTCTTCCCAGTTAGCCCCTCAAATGGCACTGTAGCTCTAGCAGTTGTCTGACAGTGAGGTGCATGGCTAGAAGCCTCACTTCTAACTGGAGTCAGAAGGAAATGTTAGCCATTCACTACCACAGAGCCCTGACCAGTTATTCCAGTGCAGGACAGCCTCTTTTTGGCTGTCCCCTTTTCCTTGATTTACCTTCTTCTGTAGCTGTCTGTGGAAACCCTGCACATTTCTTCTGCATCTAGCTGTCAGATGCAGATGGGCCAGTTCTCTGAGTCCTGCTGACTCCCAGAAGGGACAGCATAGGTGGTGACCATGTGGCTCTTGCAGTACAGACCCATGGTCCAAGCAGCTGTGCCTGTGGCAATGAAATCTGTTTATAAAGTAAAAAAGGGGGGTCTTTTTTTTTATAATCTAGGGCTGGAAATTAATGTTTTTGTTTAATTTCAGCTGCATACTCTGGAGACATAGGCAGGCCACACTGTGAAGCTAGGCTTGCTGCTAGTATGTGGTCTGAGAGAATTTGGTTGGCAGAAGCATGGCCCACCTGCTAGTCAGGCCCTCTCCCACCCAACATGTGGGTAGCTGAGCCTCTCCTTCTCTGCCCCTCCTTTCAGATACATCCCTCAGAAGCAGTCAGAGGATGTTCACTCCTTTGTCACTGAAGTCGCCTATAGGATCCAGCTTCTGCAGATTGAAAACCTGGCTCTGAACCCATGGCTTCTGGTAGTTGCCATTCTACTTCAAAACCAGTTATCCATGGACTTGGACACTCTGGTGGAGAAGACTCTGTGGCTCAAGGGCTTAACTCAGGCATTTGGAGGATTCCTGCTTTGGCCTGGTATGTATATGGGATGAATATGGTTTGTAAACTAGCCTTTTCATTTCCTAATTTGAGACCCAGTGAGGGGGCTACTTGAGAGTAATTGCTTGTGCGTTGGTTTACCCTTGAGACTAAAGATCCAGGACTACAGTGCCATTTCCTTAGTAGCTACAGACCAGAGACTAATGACATAAATCCTTCCCCTCCACATCTACCTCTTTTTAATTATAGTTTTGAGTGTGTGTGTGTGTGTGTGTGTGTGTGTGTGTGT